GGTAACACACCTTTATGAGCTCTGTACATTAACACTAAAATATTATAATCAACCAAATCATAGAATTTTAATCATTTCAAATCATGAAATAATATATTAGATGGAGATATATTGTTTATTGAGATATTTTATATAATATATTGGATAGAGACAGACATAGCAGGTGTGTGTGTTTTAAATGGACTGTTCATCACGGTTGTAAAGTTGATATTATTTTTTTAAAATATGAGTAACTTTTTTTAATTWAAGTGGAGTAGTTAGTAAAATTACTAAGTACTGTACTTTAGTTAAGTACCACCACAATTTTGTTCACTTTCATTTACCCTCATAAAATCATCCACCAGGTTGGAACCACTTTTTATTATTATTTTTTATTATTATTTTAAATAAAACCATTCAGCCGTGTTTCCACCTCTCCATCATGTGTGTGTCTCTCTGCAGTGCAGCCGAGCTCAACTGTGTCCAGTTTGTATTTTTGTTGTCATTGGTCAACACTACMCAGCTGCCTGCCCATACTCGTTTTTCATTGGTCGAAAGGTCTATCCGTCAACGAGCTTCCGCCTTTTTGTCCGCTTTTGATTGGCCGGTCCACGTTCCTCCTCCTCAGGTTGTGGGGTCCCCGGTTCGGTTCGTTCGTAGCCACATTTTAAAACTGGATCCCTTCCCCTCATTTCTGCTGACCCAGAAGTCCCCCCACTCCCGGACCGCCCTGTGCTCTGTGTTGAGCCCACACTGTGAGCCTGAAGCGGACTCCTCGGCACGGCGGTGGGCAGCGGGATGTCGGTAATCGCTCGGCTGCAGGGCCGAGAATTCGAGTACCTGATGAAGAAGAGGTCAGTGACCGTGGGCCGGAACTCCTCTCAGGGCTCGGTGGACGTCAGCATGGGCCACTCCAGCTTCATCTCCAGGCGACATCTGGACATCTTCACGGCCAGGGAGAGCAGCAGCGGCGCGGGGGGGTTCTACCTGCGGTGCCTCGGTAAAAACGGGGTGTTTGTGGACGGGGTGTTCCAGAGAAGAGGGGCTCCACCTCTGCAGCTCCCCCCAATGTGAGTTTAATTCACACGGTGTGCTGTTTGTGTGGAGCAGAGAGTGTTCCTGGGGTTGTGTTGTTGTAGCCCTCAGCGGCACTGCACGTGTTGTGTGTGGCGTGATGCGGTACAACAACAGCAAATGTCAACAACATCACGCTACGGTTACAAACAGCCTTGTTTAGCTCAGTGGTTCCCAAACTTTTTATCTTCTGACCCACTAAATATTCATGGCAAAAACTTGTGACCCCAAATATTACTGGTCTGAGTACACAAACTTCATTAATAACCCTAAAAACACAGGCTTTTTGACAATCTTATACACAAATATAAATAC